GCGCCTTGAAATGCTCAATAATTCCGCCACGCTTTGCTTCTGAGCCGGTTAGCACAGCCGTCTGTCGGCTTTCGGCGGATTTCACCAAAGCGGGAATAAAAATAAAAGAAATCCCCGAGAGTTTCTTGGATTTCGCATCATAGTTATTCGTAAACCCTCGAAATGATATTTAACACCTCATCTTTTTTCGAGTTTAGTTTAAATTAACTACCTTCTGGTGGAAATCCAGGTCAACAAGGAAATTAAAATTAAAATGGAAGCGCGCCCAAAACGCCAGTTTATGAAACCGACGCAATTTCTCAGGCGTTGAGCCCTGCGGTGAGCGGCGGCGCTAAGCCATGGAAGGCATCATGAGGACGTGGTCGCGCAATAATTATGTAAACAGCGTCTCGCGGTGGCGTTAATTGCCTACGCCCGAATTCGACTAACTGCCGTTTACTCTAGGTATCTACCCTATCCTACTCGAACAACACCCCTGTAATAGTAATTGTAATTGTATTCCAAAGTAGTTTACCAAGTAAACCAATACTGAAACATTTGCAAATTCTATTTATATTTGACATTTGACAAAATATCGTCAAGGTTCAACGTTGGTCAAAGTTCAAGACAAGTCGTTACACCACTGATAAATTAGTTTTAATAAAAGTTAAGAAAAGTTGTGAATGTGTGTGCATGACAGCCGCGCAGCTTGACCTGATTATTTCATGTCGCAATTACGCACAAGTACCTTACCAGATGTTTAATTTAAAACTCAGAAATTTCTAATTTTTACTTTACACTTGATTTCCAACCATATTATGCAGATATGGCATAAAAATGATGATGATTTATGATTTATAATGACAATAAGATTAATGCAGCACTTTTCGAGAATACCGAAAAGGTTAAACCGGTTAAACTCAACCAGAATAGAAATAACAATCGTAGTAAATTATCGACTGCAAAGAAAAACTGCAAAACAAGTGGAAACACAGCCGCGTATAACGAGGAAAATTACCCCGAAGCATGAAAGAAAATGCCAACAGCGTCGAAAGAAAAAAAACACCAGCAGAAAAAGAATTGGAAAAGTAAAATGAAGAGAAAAAAATGAACACAACACAACGGAAAACTTTTCAAAGCATAAAATACACGTGTTGTAGATGTATTTTCGCATGGCATGCCGCGTTTTTTTTTTCTTTTTTAATTTTCCATGCTTTCAAGTGCGAACATTAAGCATGTTTGTTTTGCAGCGCGATATTAATTTTAATTAACATGAAATTTGCACACAACGCGTTATTTCTCCGCGCAAAAAAAAAAGAATCGAAATTACCATGGATGGCGAAAAACCCTCAAAACGTGTGTGTCATGCGTCCCAGATTCAAGTCAATGACATTAAAAACCTAAACAGTTACAGTGATTTTATAGGGTTTATACGAGCAGCTTATTGCTAAGAGTGGAGGAGAGGAAATAGTGCGCCACTGGACGATGGTGATGGCGATGGGCGAATTTAGGTGCTGCACGTTTCCTTTTTACGACTTGCAAAATGCCAGCACATCAACACCTCAAGGAAATCGATATTACGCACTCGTACTGGTGGTACTCATGTCAAACTCCGAGCATATAAATTTACCATTTTGACTTGGATATGAGAACGATGATGAACATGTTGTAGGTAATTGCTGATTAAATTTTCGAAAGAAAAACACAGTAGAGACAAGATATGTGAATTTTAGTTCAAAACCGGTATTTTGGGTTGATACGGTATTAATTCTGAGACTATTTCTATAATATTAAACGGTTTTGGTATTGGAAATGAAAAATACCGGTATTTGAAAAATAAATACCAGTTAACCGGTTTTAATACCGGTATTTTTACACCTTTACTAAAGTCTGTCAAACAGTAGTGTTTTTTAAGAGACAGAAGTAAAACATTGAGAGAATCATTACAAAAACCCACATACCACTAATATACGATGTTTCAAGCTAAATGTCTCTGAATTTACTTTATTTCCTTTTTCTTTATGAATTTATATCCTGACCTATTACTCTGGACTCTAGAATCCCCGCGTCGGTTATACGGTTAACCATTAAAACATTTTAGCGCCGGTGCGCTTTTCACAACTCGTTAATCATAAATCAAACGGCACGCATTTTCCGCATAATACTCTCCGCCATGTTCGCCATTTCCAGCGGTAGTCTCCAGCTCGCGTCCATTACGGTTAATGCGAGAAGGACGACGAGTTAATACGACCACATCACCCTCAACTTCCTTACTCCTACTTTTTGCGAAAATAACCCAGCCAAAGCAGAAAAGTAAAGTAAATACAAGTACCTATACTACACTACTACCACCACTACTACCACTATAAATAAAAATGACGTTTTCCTTAAAATATTTTACAGGCACCAGTTGGATAAATTGGTAATGACAGATTTATACGCGGCGTTAAACACTATCAATAATGGCACGTAGTAAATAATTTACGGAGGAAACAAAAGAAAAAACACGACGCAGTGCATATTATGATAACAATATATAAAAACGGAATAAAATAACACAAAACAAATCATGCGCCAGACATGTGCATGTAAGGAATACAGTATAATTAATGAGTTTTAATTACACACCTGCGCTCAGGGTGCGAAAACTTTATCGAAATGATAAGTTTAAGGCCTAATCATGTGCCTGTATTACACACATAATATAAAGTTTGTTGTTGGGTTAATTAAAGTTTAGCAAAGAGGAAAAAATACAACACCAACAAAGAAACGTCAGGAGGCAAAATGTCTCAGGTATACAATCTGACGACAGGAGTTAATCAATAAAGAAGAAATCACGTATAAACATAATAAAAACGGAAGTTTCTTTGAAGCAAATAGAAGCTAAATAAATTATTTTAATTTTAACTTTTTGACGTTGAGCACAGAGCATCAAAAGTGAATAAATTTTGAATGAGCAGTAAATAGATGCCGTCAAAAGTCAGATATCACTTGCTCATGAAAGGAGTCATAGATGAAACATAGAACACATCTTGCGAGTGTATACATTATATTTACACGATTTACCAATGCGATGTAATCACTATTAATAGTGCAAAATTCCAAAATATAATAAGTATTGAAATACCGGTATATTTATAATCAAATACTGATCATCCTTACTAATATTATAAATGCGAATGTCTGATGTTTGTTACACTTTCACAAGACTACTTAACCGATCATCATGAAAGATTTGTACACATATTCTTGAAGTGGTCCCCGATAGGTTATAGGCAGCTTTTATTTAATAAAAAATAATTTTTAAATAAAATAAAGAAATAGTTTAGCCAATAATACCTCTGCATCTGGCTATTTGACTACTTTAACATAATCTAGCATTCCAGCAATGAAGTTCAAACCTAAGTACTATAGTACCATCACACTGTATTATCACACTGTATTACCGACAGCTACGTCAACATCAAATCAATTGGCTACTATGGAGACTGTACACTGCTTCCATAGACTATACTTTCAGCCATTTTAAACTTCCCGCCATTCTGCCATTTACTTCTTCTGTGACTACAGACGCGTACGGAAGCAACTTCATTATTTTTGATGTTATTCGCGAACAGAAGCCAAAGGTTAAAACCAGTTTTCAATATGATACTGCTTCGATATAAACCAGTATTGAAAAATATTGGTATTTTTAAATAAAATACCGGTTTTTCAATACTATTTTGAATTTTTAAAGAATACCGGTATTAAATTGAGAGTCAACCCCTTTCAGGAAGGCTGCGCATGCGTATTACCACTACATAATTATAAACTCAAATTAGTGAAAACAAACAAAAACACGTTTTTAAACAAATTCCAACACTTCTCAATCCCAAACAGAAAAATAATCACCCTACCGATGTTTCACATCATCCTTCTTCTGCTTCTGTTCTTCACCTATCTTCAATTTCCACGTTTGTATTCAAAATGATCAGCATACCGTAAACACATGTGCGTGGTACAAAGTGCAATATATTTACACGGTAAAACACAAGCAACAAATGTAATTGCACTCAATTTTTCAATACTTTTCATCACCGAAACGCAAAAAAGCAAATATAAACAATTTTTGATGATTCAATGCATTCATTAAATCATTAAATTCTGACCTAGTAACACAAATTTCTCCTATAATAATAAAAAACCAGCCTAAATTATACCCAAAATAAAAGCAAATCTAACCTTGTTTTGAAATACACATACACGTGATTAAAATGCATGTTTGTGTGCATGCCCGCCGAGTTTATTGGCGTGTTGATACGGCGTTACTAATTAGAAACATTCCGTTGCAGAAGCAAGCAGTCAAACACACTCGGATATACAGTGTGTTTACATTACATTACAAAACGCCGGTTATTATTGGAACAACAATTCAACAATAACAACAGCATAATGTGTACAACAATCGTGTACAAACAAGCCGTAATTTATGCTCGCTTAATATTCACCGCATTTTTTGTATTTACTTTTATTTGAACGGTGAATCCAAACAAGTTTTAACACAATATATTAATCGATGATACGCACCGACGAATAAATTCACTATTCATGAATTATTAACAATATGCACGGATGCGGATAAACGACCTAACTGCACATTTGTCTACCAGTTTATTCTTTTATGTGAATAATGACTCATAAACGTAGAAAAATGAAAGAAAAAATGTAATATTTAGGTTGTAATCAAATTCTGAGTAAGGTATGCAACCAATTGTACACTCGGGTGTAAAATTAGGTTATGTAAGTTGAAAATCTCTTATTTCTGAGTCATTAAACTATAAAATTAAAAGAAATGCATAAATATTTGGGTAGTACTAAAATTTTGAGTAAGATATGCAACCCAGTATGCAATAAGGTGTGAATTGAGGTTATGTAGGCAGGAAATATGTCAATAAATCAATGACATTTTAATTATGCAAACATCCGGCTGAATAAATGCATAAACCGTAGGCAGATTGTTGCAAAATATGATATTCGCTTACCTCGCCGCTCTCAGCCGCTGGCGAATCGTCAATGATGTTGAAGATGATGGGCGGCAGGCCGGGTTTGCCCAGCAGCGAGAACCCAAAGCCGCTGTTCTCGCTGCGGCTGAGCACCACGAGCAACTCTTCGGCCATTTGCAGCTGCAGATGCTCTCCTCCTCACGACATCGAAACACCAAACATATGACGATCACTACAAACAAACAAACTGTCAACGTTACACATCTATGCTGTTGTCTATTACATACCTGTTATGTTGCACTAACAACACCACACGTTTATCTTGTTTTATTTTGTTTATTTTGATTTAGTAACGCGTGACGCACGATTAATTTCGCTTTTTATTTCACCAATTCACATAACCTCCGTGCGTGTTTCTTCGCGGAGTGACCTCACCATCGACAACACCTAGCCAGGCATCTGCTGCGCTTGCTGCATCCACATAACACAAAACATACACGACGAATTTCTATTTCAATACGAAACGAACGAAAAAAAACCACCACTGGTTGTCGATAATGCAGAGCGGTGGATACAGTGGTGGTTGTGCTGCATTCGCAAACGCGGAATTCACTGCGCGAATCGCGAATCAATGCGGCAAGCGCGGCGATCACCACACCGAGTGCAGTCTTCGGCCAGCGCCAGCATCACGCACACAGAGCCGCGCGCCGGCGAACGAAATCACCAAGTGCGCAAAGTGCGACCGAAAAAACAACAAGCGCCATTGTTGAAATAAAACATCAACCACCGCTCCAAAACCACACATCGCGCGCCCTCTATATACCAAACCCTAAACTAACCATCAAAAACTCATAAAACATGGCCGTCTCTTCAAATACGAAAAAACGTAGGTATTTAATGATGATTTCCAGCGATGATTTGCAAAAATAACAAATAACATCGCCACATCTCGCATGAGATAATCTATTCCATACCCGCCTTGACCCCGCACGCCTCATTTTACATCATCGCGCGTCACTTTATCGATGCGCTGCCACTGGCGGCTTCCATGATTATGAATTAGGTAACACACTTGTTCGGATAATTACAAGAAATAGTTGAACATTCACTTTCCCATCCAAGCGTAGAAAAGCAAGCGAGCAGCGCAAAAAAAAGTTCAACAACCTTGAGTCCACCACGAATCAAAAATTCACTTGCATATTATACAAGTGACACTCTGGGCGCATAAAGTGGTACGCAGGTTATTTTCGTATTCTAATCTTACTTTGAACAAATCCCAACAAGGTCGTACGGAAAACAAGTGAAAATGCAAGGTGTTTCGTCGTTGGTAAAGAGCACAATTCCCAATTACTTGTCGAGTCTTCCGATCCCAGACTCGATAGGCGGATGGTTTAAACTTGGAGGTAAGTATTTGGATAAATAAAAACTTATGATACCTAATTATTTGTTGTAATGTGTAGTTAAAGACTGGGCGGCGCTGATTCCACCAACTGCAGCACTTGCAGGCTTCACTTACATTACCTACAGAGCGTTTTGTCCTCATGGCAGGCCTGCACCATGCGGAAAAGTGAATCCAAACATCCTGAAGACCAATCCGAAGGTGGTTGACTCTGTGGATGTGGAGGATATTGCCGATAAGGCAGCGTTCTGTCGCTGTTGGAGAAGCAAAAATGTTAGTATTGCTAAATTAATATTAATTTATTTAATTTTTTTATATATTTTTATTCTAGTGGCCTTATTGTGATGGTGCACATGGTGTTCACAACAAAGAGACTGGTGATAATGTAGGCCCGGTTGTTGTCAAGCGAGAAAAGTGAAGAAGATAATATTACTGATGTGTTTAGCCAAAACTCTTAGATAATTTTCCGAAGAAATAAATTGTTACAAGTACTTTAGGTGTTTGGTTGCTGCGGGTTTTTGCTCACTTGTTAACAGGCAATTTTTGATTGTTTGATTATTTTTTGTTACATTGATAGCTTCAAGCAAAGTTATGTGTTCAAAATAAAGTAAACATGCAAAACACACACTTTTATTATTATTTCACGCAAATTTATCAACAATTCTAACTATGAATTGAATTAATTAAAGGAAAATAATCTTGGCAACCTTGTATAAACCCAAATTAACCTCACTTTTTTATAGAACATCAATATAACAACAAACAACTGAAATAATATTTTAAAACTTTGATTATTAACAAAATAACCATGATGGAAGTTGATAATGATGAAAATTATGTTTTAAACAAAGCTAGATCCGCACTGAAGGCAAATTCAGCCTCAGCGAAAGCCTGGATGATAATGGCTAAAACTTTATATCCTAACAACTTCGGAGTACAGTTTGAAGCTTACAAAAACGAAAAAAACGCTGGAAATGTAAAGGAAGCCGGCAGATGCTTCACGGATTTAATTGAGAAATTCCAACAAGTGCCTGAATTCTGGGAGGAAATCAATGCTGTAACTCAAGCTCTAAGAACCGAGAGTGAACTTGATGCACAAAAACAGTTCCTCTCCGAAATGTTTAAGCATTTATCCACGGAAGTACAACATAAACTCTTGTTAATCACTGCGGATCACTGTGAAGACACCCAGGAACATTGTAAACTTCTATTGTTGCTTTTACAGAAGTTTCCATCATCAATTTCATCACATGGGGTAAAAAATCATTTAATTTTTTAAAGTTTTTAAGTTAAAATTTATATTTTTTGTAGATGGGATTAATAGAAACGTTACTAAGTGCAGAGAAACACAACGTGTCAGGAAATCAACCCGTAAATAAATACAGAGAGTTGTTAATCTGTGATTTAATCCCTCTACTGAATAAAGACGGATGTATTCTGGATTTATCACCGAAATTGATCTTTAAACTACTGCACAAAGCCATAGAATATCATTTATTTGTGCTCTGGGGTTATATTTGTAATAAAAAGGTAAAATTCACCCAAAAAACCTCAAAATTTTCATAAAAAATTCATTTTATCATCATTTTAGGATGATTCCAAGCAGAAAAGTGAAGATTCCTGGTCGAATTTATACAAAACCTTTGAATTTGTTTGTCACCAACTACACTGGGAGAAATTCCTGCCATCCTTCAGTACAAATTGGTGCAAAGACACTTACTGGGCCAAAATACTAAATCTAATCCAATCACCAACGTTTAACATGGAAGACACTCAATCGCACAAACAAGTAACATACGCCGTTGCAATCTTCCTGCTCTACTGCTTGTATCAATATTTATATTGTTTAAATATTGAGAATGTACCAGGACAGAATTATCCTGCGTATTTATTGGTGCAGGGGTTTCTCGACGCGAGTTTCCCAGCGTTTTCGAGTGATCCCATCGCGAGTATGAGCGCAAAACGTCGAAAAAGCACGGATTGTAATAATACAGACGCAGTTGTGGTGACAATCGAGTCGAAAACACTCAAAGCAATCATTCCCAACTTTACAATGGCTGTAAAATGCTGGGATTTGCTACATTCCGCTGATCAGTTAAATCGCGAGTTTATTAAATTGAGTGGAGCGTTGAATTTGGAGCATTGGTTGAGTACCTTTCTCGTAGATCATTTAATTTATAAAGATAAACATGAGGATGTCTTGAGGAGACTTGAAAACGACTCTGGGTATCCACAACTGCCTAAATTAATCCTCAAAGCACAAGCTTTCTTTCTACAACGCAATTATATCGTAAGTTTTTAAAAAATTTAATATTTTTAGTGAATAATGTTAAAAATAATTTAAATTTTAGAGGTCTTATGATAATATCCGTGAAGCTCTCCAACTTCTACCGGAAACCACCGGAGAAACATGCGAGAATCTAATAATAGGCGGAAATCAACGCCATTTACACTTTTTGCCTCTCACACGCGTCGCAATCATCCAATTCCTCGCGAAATTCATCCTGCATGGCATCCGCGCAAACGGATTCAAGACAGATATGTCTGTGGGGCATTGTTTTGTCCTCATGCAAATGGACTGGCCGAATGAAGAGAATTTCCTGCCAATGCTCATACAAGAAATATGCAAAACCCGCACGTTTTACTATCTACCATTCCAGACTTACATCATCGAAATAGACATATTAGAAGAATTGGCATTCTTGTGGAATAGCCAAAACGGACAAATCACATACGAAATCCTACCCAACATGTTAACTCGCAGAATAGGCACGCGTGGAGCTGATAAAGGCATTCGGGAAGAAATCAAACATGCCATCAAGGGACAAATCGAAAAAGTTCACGACCCCATCCATGAACTAATCCGACAGTTTCTGCTACAGGAACAAACGCACATCTCTGTGAGCCTTTTATAAGTTGTAACTTAAGCTCTGTTTTTAATAAAATTATGCTTACGATAATCTCAATTCAATAACATGTGTAATTGCTTAGACTTATACTTGATTAGTATTAATATAGGCACTACGATTAGTACAATTCGCGTGTGATAAAAAAATACGAGTAACAATATCATAATAACGTGTACATGTTGAACATTTAAACATTACCTACCTTTATAAGGTGCCCCAACCGCCGTAGGGATAACCGGGTTGACCCTGGCCGGGTGCTCCAG